GCGCTTCGGACGCCGCGGATTTGCCTCCGCACTTATGTCGGCGCGGATAAGGGCATCGCGGTTTTGTGGTGGAACCATGCACGGCCACTTTGGTGAAGGGGCGGGGTTTCAGGAGGCAAAAAATGCTGTATTTGGTGTATAAGACGCACCCAGATTTTCAGCCTCTTTTTTTGAGGAAAAAAGGTACGTCTTATACTCCTAAAAATACAGTAATTTGTTTCCTAAAGGGAGCGGCTGACATAAGAGTTGGGTTCCCTCATTTTTATTACAATTAATATAGGGGAAAGTTTTCATGAACCCCTTTACTTAAGTTTTGGCTTGAACAGCAAAGTTAATTTTACTATAGGTAGTTGGTAACGTCTGACCACAACTGAGATCAACATTTCCATTGCTAAGCAAGGCAGTTGTTAATGAGGAGTTTTGCCTAATTTTATGATTTTTGTCATAACTTTGAATGTTCACTAAACAAATGGTTATAAGTTGAGGACTAGCTAAAGTGTTCTTCTTTGTTCCTGTTTTTATTGATTGGGGGAGGGTTAATCTATTCGCATCTCTCCAATTAAGAACAACAGATAGCAAGTAATGAGGGGAAAAATGATTGCTCCCTAAATACTTTGGAGAATCATGCAAGTGATACCAGGCCACAGAAAGAAATCAAACAATCTCTTCAGTTATAAGGCAGAGCTATAAAAAGGAGCTATGACTATTTCAACTGAAGAAAAAATTATCATAATGAAAGTCATTGTAAATGGTTTCTATTATGTAAATGTATTTCGGGAACAATCAAAATAAACTCAATAACATGCTGATATCTTTAGTAAGAACAGTGCATCTTGATAGAGGATTTAATAATAGTGACTGGTCCTAATAATAGCAGAAAAAATAATTAGGTTAGCTTTGTCCTGAGACTAGAATATCTTTTAAGCACAACTATTTATACTTTCATTGGGCTTTAGGGAACTTTTTCCTGGACTTTTAGCTTTGCCCTGTGGCATTGTATAGAGACGGCATTGAACACACTTGTCAGTAACCTTTCCCTGAGTCAGGCTAGCAATGGTGCAATTTTTCAGATCTCAGTGGCTTTTGATACCCCTGATCATGGCATCCTTCTGGATGGACTGCAGTTGTAGGAGTGGAGGCTCAGTATTTTATATAAATAAAATCAACATTCAACATACATTCAACATACAGTGGTTCTCACTGTACAGTCAATTCTACCAGTATTGAGGATATTGAGAAGTGGGAACAGAAGATTGGATGTTTTCACCATCTACAGGAAGCTGATGGGTGATGTCATTCATCAACACCGGCTGTTGAACACAGCATATCATCAATATGCTGGTGATACCAAATTGAACTAAATCTTGAGCCCAACCTAACCAAATGATTCTATCTTATCCCAATGTATGAAGGCTGCTGGGATCTAGATGGGAAGAAAGAAACTTAAACTCAATCCTGATACAAGACTGAGTGGCTGGGTATTTTTGTCTGGGACCATGAATTCTTTGTATTTAATTCTAATATGGGGTAGAACTTCCCTGGAGAAAACTAGTGTGGACTCATAACTCCTTTTTGAAGAGTAGATCCCAGCTGTAGCCAGGTGGCCTTTGCCCTTTTCTGGATTTAGGAACCCCTTCTCACAGTCATGCGTATCTTATTATTTTTGTGTGTGGACTATTGCAACTTGCAACAATGAAGATAACCTTGAAAACCACCCCAAAAATACAATTGGCCTAGAGTGCATCAATACATGAAGTTATGGGCACACCTTGAAATGTTTGTGTAACACTTTTGCGTGCAGTCTTCACTGGTTTATAGTCAGTCTCTGGTTACAATTCAGAGTGCTATTTAAGACTTCTGAAGTCCTTCATGGCATAGGGCCTGGCTATCTGAGTGACCATCTTTTTCCTACTTTTTCTCCCTATCTAATAAGATCTAACAGAGTGGGCATGTTCCAGATTTGTCTTTAAGAGAGTATCATCTGATGGGATCTCAGTGGAATGCTTTTTCTGTCACAGTGTCTGCACTGTGCAATAGTAATCTCCAAAGGTCTGCGTTATCTTGATCTTGCCATTCTTTAAATAGGTCTTGGAAGATCTGATTGTTTTCCTAAGCTCTTTGTTATGAGAATTTTGTTAATGTGCTCTATCTATTAATTCCCTGCTTTCTTTTTGTTTTTATTTATAGTATTTGTTTTTAACTTATATGCTGTGCATGGTTGTTATGTATTCAGCAACCTATACATTTGATTTATATATAATATTGTGAGATGTAACACACAGGTACAAACAGATCATCTTCAATTATCTAGTTTCCATTGTAAAAGAAAGGTAGGTTCAAAAGAAAGAATTCCTCCATTGGAAAAATCAGTGAACAATATGTTTCCTTAGTCATCTGGGAGCTTTAAAGGTATCTTACCTCACCAAATGCACCTCTGCCAATGACTTTTATGATTTCAAAGTCATCTCGATGAAGTTGCATTTCCTTCACCAACTGGGTAAATGGTTTGGCTGTTTGAAAATAAGAGGAAATCTCAAGTTAAAGTTTGTATATTGTATATTGATGTAAACTGATTGGTATCAATCTGTATATTAGTTTAGATTTGATAATAAAACATCAAAAATTGCTACCTCTATCGCAGATGATATGGTCAAGAAGAAGCCAGTTCTTATTTCTAATACAAAGAACCTTATCTAGTCTTCCTAGCACAACTAATCAATGAATTAAAAAAATAGGTGTCCAAAAAAAAAAAGCCCCCAACCCACTTACAAATAAATATGCTAGCTAAGCTAGGAAGCAACTAGGCAATGAAAATATACAGAATGTATCTCTCATTAATAAAATAAGCAAAAGTGCTAACCTTAAAGAAGAACTTCAAGCCTATGTGCAAAAAATTAGCAATTAGCCTTGGGAAGATAAGACTTTCAGAAAGCTCTTAAGGTATAAGCAATACTTCAGCTCAAGAATTATTTGGCCTTTGAATCTAAAAGAACCATTGTCTAATGTTCTATATTACAACTATTATCTCATACTTCCCTATTAAATATTTTAATGTGCATGTATATTAATTCAATGAATAATCCTAATTGTATCAATCAGAAAAAAAGTTATTTGCAATTAACTAGTTTGATGTTGTTTATATCTAATCAAATGTTTATTACTGCAATCAATCAGTTAAAGATGATTTGCATATATCAATAAAAAAAGATTTGTGCTCCATATCTCTCAGGCTTTTCTATTCTGTCTCCAGTCCCAAAATCTGTCAATTAACTTTTGCTTTAAAGTAATTTGACCTTTAAATATATTCCTGGGAGAATTCTTCTAAAGCAGTCAATACAATGTTTGTAATACCACCTTCAGTAAATAGTAACTTTGTCTATAATTTTCCTTTCCCAGATATCTTCACAAGATCTTCAAATGGAAGTACATGATCCCATGTTCAGTTACTAACCTTATGTAATCTAGAAATAATACTCATACCGGTAGTAGATCTAGAAGTACAATTTACTGGTAGTTTAGTGGGTGCATGGAGAGATCATTCTTATGCATCTTCAATCACCTCAAATAAAATTAATTGCTTATCAAGCCAGGTTCTAGAAATTTCATTATGTGCCATCAACTTAGTATTGACTCTGAATAACCACACAGATCATTTTTCTCCACAACAATATGTCCCTAGCCTGATCTTTCAGGTCTTCCAGTGGACCATCCAACACTACTGTAATTGAGTCTAATCACTTTACAGCTGTTCTTCCCTTTGCTTCCATCTTTCTCAAGCATTAGACTTTCCTCTAGAGAGTTAGATCTTTACATCATGTGTCTGGAGTAGGATAATTTGAGCGTGCTCATTTGTGATTTGATGAGAACTCTTGTGTTCATTTGTTTAATGATCCATTTGGTTTTGTTTCCCCCTTGTATGTCCATCCACAGTATATTTCAGGAGTCTTCCACAACATAAAACTTCAAAAGCACCAATAGTCTTTCCATTTTCAAAATTCAACTTCTCTTTTCAGAAAATACAATTGTTTATACTATTTTGATATAAACACATCACAACATCTGAATGTTTTTTTCAAGGTCTTCATGAATACCAGTCTACAGCACGGGTGTCAAATTTGTGGTGCCATCTTGCAATCGCATGACATTTTGCAATATTTTTCCCATTCGTGGAGCTGGGATGGGCGTGGTCTGCTTGTGACACATCCAGCCTATGGGCTGCCAGTTTGACACCCCTGGTCTACAGCATATTTCTTAACAACTAGTTCCTTTACTGTTGATGTTGATCATAAAAGGGAGAAGCTCTTTGATATCAGTTCTACAACTGCTATTAATTAAACTACTAATTAAGCAATAAATATGATTTATAAATTACAATGGTTTGATTCACACATTATACTAATCCAAAATACATTAGGGTTTAGCACTATACATGAATAATCACAAAAAATTAAAGTTGAAGGCATGTTTAGAACACTTTAATATATATTTATATAAAGAAAACACATTATACCACAATAGGCAACAAGTTCAAAAGCAAACTTATTCTTATTCTAAATTTGCCACACTTTTAATAATCATATTCTACAGAAATACATACACCCACGAAGAACTATAAGAAGTTTCCAAGTAAGACCAGAACAATTCTTAAATGTCCTGTCCCGGCCATGGAAATTGGACACACATGTAAGTTTTATATTTTTACTAAAAAGGTCTCTAAACAGAACTTTAATGGCAAAAAGGATTGGACAAACTCTCATAATCCCTCATGCCCAAAATACCTAGCCCACAAAGATTCAACCATCTTAGATTAGAATTCAAATTGTAAACAAGGTACTAGAGAGTCAATTAAATATAGCATGAGGGTCCAGGGTTACAATTTGAGAGGGTAGGGTCTTAATGAGTTCAGGAATACAGTGGTGAGGTAAATGGAGAATTGTTGCCAATGGATCTGTCAGGTGCACAGCTCCTCTTATACAGAAGTAGTATGATCCGGATTTGTTCCATTGAGGGGGTTGAGGTTCTTTCTGGACAACAGTCTTCTTGAATGCCTTTGATCAGCCCTCCTCTTTTCAAATTGGGAGGAAATGCTAGTTCCACCTCTTCATCTTCTGAGGCCAAGGATAGCTGCCTCTCCTGGTTTCTAAGCAACACTTGCTTTTCCTGCCTGACTCTTCCAGCTGAATCCCCTCAGGCTGCTGACCCTCCCGTAACTCCTCTTCATCTTCAGAGTCTGAGCTGGCTATGACACTAAGTGTAGCAAGTAATCAATAACCCACACAATACTTCTATTTATTCTAGTCCTCTTTTGAAATTAGCAGCTAATCAACTTAAAATAAGTCATTGCAATAAGACAACTCTAGTGGGGGGGGGGGAGGGAGTATGAAAGTCATAATTTACCTAATCACCTTAGGTACTACAATAGGTTGCTAATAGTTCACCTACAACACAAGTCATGAACCATGCTTTCCAAGAATTAGTGGCTCAAATTTAGCCAAAACCTACTAAGTGATGTATGATACAAGGTTTGAACTCCTGTCAGTGATGATTCACACAAGTTTAGTAAATTACCTCATAAGGTTGTAGGGAAAAGATAAAATAACAATTTCATTGTTAAAGTTTAAAATAAATTTTACAGCTTTTAAAAATAAAACAATGGATTAACAATTTGTAGCGCAAAGTGTCAGTCAATTAAACATCACCACGTCTCAGTGTCAGTGGCATGGTTTCTTCAACTCTCTTCTGCAATAGTATTCTCCAAGAGATTTCCATATGGCTCCTATCCTGATGCTGCAAAAGGCACTGAAAACCTGATTATTGAAGGTGCCTAGCACAGCTTGGGTTGGTAGAGGAAATGAATTAATTACTTTAAAAAATAAAACACCATGAGAGACCGCCTGCTGCCAATTACCTCCAATAGACCGATTAGATCCCACAGATTAGGTCTCCTCCGAATTCCATCCGCCGGCCAATGCCGACTG